CCCCAAAACCCCAAAACCCCAAAACCCCAAAACCCCAAAACCCCAATTAAGGATATTAAAATTGAATTAGTCTTCATCCCCGTTCATAGAGAAATAATTCAAGCCTATCTTATTCTTCGTATATTGCACTGACTCTAGGACTTGTAATAGTCAATGTCTGTCATAATGCTTGTCTTTGCTCAGAACTCGTATTACCTAAACTTGATTCAAGACTCGTACCTTAACAATCATTTCCTTAATCTCAGCCGGGTTCAAGGATGAGAGCAAGACATCCATGGCCAACTTGATCAGGTGTGATTCTAGTAAGAAAAGGAGTCGGAGGAAGACTTCTTCAGAAATCTTTCCTTCCAAGACAGCTGATAGCTTAATAAAAGTGATATGGGTTTGGCGACCAGTAGAACAAAGTTGTTTGAGAGAGCATCTGGAGGGGTTAGAAGGGAGGTATGGAGTGTTTTTAGAGTTTAGATAGGGGTTAATGTGGTTAAGGAATTCTATGGCGATTGATTTTCTGTCTATCATAGGGGAAACTCGTTCGATGTAGAAGGGAATACCGAAAAGGAATTTTGAATAACAGTCTAGAACAAAGTTGGAATCAGGTCAAAATTTCATTATGATTGGGCAAATTTTCAAGAAATTTGTTGTTCATATATAGCAAGAGTTCATTGTGAATTCTCCCATTTTCCATGCTTGGAGATAGTCTAGAAAAGTCTATACAGATTGAAATCTCCCTTTACCTGGAATTCTTGAATAAGAATGCTCTTAACAGAGTCCTTATCATAAATGATTGCTTCTTCTGTATCAGAACCATTATCAGTAATAACCTTGTTTATTAATTTAAGAGCTTGTTGTTCTAAAATATATATGGCCGGTTACCATCTTTTTCTTGGTTATCCTCGCTGGTATCCATGCTGAGCCCAGTAAGCGATATCATATTGAGATATTTCTGACTGATTTCTCTATCATCTTGTATTTTAATCTCTTCCTTAAAAGCAATTTTAGCATTCTAAATATTTGAGTTGGAAATTTTTTACATTCTTTCATTTGACATGATATTGGGCTTCTTCTCAGATCACATTGAAAGTATTATTATCCAGGAGTTGTAACCCAAGCATGCTAGTGTAAGATTCAGTGATCTTGAAGTTATTTTGAACCTTATTTAGACTCCGAAAATCTTCCTCAATGTAGTTTACATCTTTCCTATTTTTGACTCTATGGAGATCTGAAGGGTACATCACTGAGAAATTCATCGTCTCGTTCAATTTTGTTTGCATTCAAGAGAGATTAGGATCCTAATTTATATCCGGACAAGCTTACAATCAGGGACATCTCAATGGCTAAGTTTGGAGCCTTTCCTTCTGGATCAGTGTTCAGATAAAATATTAAAGGATTTGTCTGAATATATAGAACCCATTCTTTGCTTTTAAGAACTAATACATTGCTTTTGGCATTATTTTAACACTTGCTTGAAGTCTTTTCGATATCAAAGTCTTTTAGTTTTACAGAAACCATCTATGGTAAACTCTCGGAGTGTTTCTGAAGACAAAGAGGATGCTAAAAATATCCATATTTTCTCATTTTCATATTCCAAATGATGTAGAATCCTAAAGATTAGGCCTTTACTTACCAATGGAGATACTTAGACTCTAGTTCTCTCCTTTTTACTATATAATTAATGACATTTAGCTTGGAATCAAGCTCTATCTGAATCTGGAGAAGGAGCAAATCAAGCTTTGTGATCAAGAACATGTAGTTTTTATCATCCTTAATGAACAGTTTATTTCTGTAAAGGCCTCTTCTTTCCTAACTTTATAGTCTCTGAGATCGTCTGTTGAGGAATCTTACAAATTCAGTACTTGGACCTCAATTTATTTAGTTCTCGGGTGCTGAATTCATAGCTTTCCTGATTTTGAGACCAACATGAGCTTATAAATAGGCATTTTTAATGGAACAGACAATTCTCATTGTTTAATACTAGAGACTATTTCTAGCTCAAGATTGCTATATTAAAACAACTTATATAAGAATCTTACTCTGGTAGTTTCTTTCTTTCACTTTCAAGGATAACTTCTTTCTTAAAATATAAGCTATATGTGTCTTTGTTCAGATTCTCCATTTTTAAATAATAGATATTTTGGGGTTTTGGGGTTTTGGGGTTTTGGGG